GCATGTATAGCACATCTGACAATAGAGTTGACTTGACTTGATGTGAAAAGGCCACAACGGGACCTTCTATCGATAATACCACAACATCACAGACAAAACCAGACAAAAAGAGACTGACCCAAGCTAGACTGCTGTTTACCAAACGTCTCTCCATATGAAACCATGCTTATGACAACAGTCTGGAGGAACGGACGCAGAGCCGGTGAGAACTGTGAAAAAGAACAACTGAAGGTTAATAAAAGAGCTTTGTTTTTAAATAACTAAGGCGAGTGACACATACTGGCTATAAAAAAAAAGACGTTTTAAGAATACCAAACTGCTTATTTGGGATCTGATATTTGTATTCACAGTTATCTGAATCAAATTGCTGAGAGAAGTCCAACACATTACAAACTGGACAAAAATAAATGCAGCTGCTGTGAAGTAACTAACCTGAAAGCCCAGACAGCGGCCATAGAAACAGGCTTTGTGCATGGAGCTGTACTCCTGCACAAACCTGCGGCTCAGGTCCCCGTCCTGAAGAGAGTACAGCTGGCCGTAGTCGTTGTCGTTGATCAGCCGCTGGGCGAGGTGCAGCAGGGCACGCAGCTGGCACAGAGCGCTGCAGTACGCCTCCATCTCAGAGGCATTGTGGTCCGCCCTGAAGAAGGCACTGTTGTAGTTAGAGGCAATGTAACGGCCTTTGTGGATGATGTGCAAAAGGCAAGACAGGAAGACCTGAAAGAGAGAAGGAAAGACAATGCAACTGGGTATTTAAAGGCCAAACAATATCAGGTAAAGCTTGATATAGAGGAGATTATTTCACTAGTACAGAAGTACTAAAAGGTCTTTTAATGATATTTTTGTCAATAAGGAAAATACAGAATAATCTTATCCTCTGATAGATTTAATTTTAGACGTCACTGTAAACAAACAAAGCCAGTGAGACAGTTTTATACATTTACGCTTTCTTAAAGGGTAACTCTGCTGTTATGAAACCTGGATGTTATTTCTCCGGTCCAGTATTGATGGGGAGCACCGCAGCCTGCAACTGCTGAATGGGCTACAACGTAATCCTCGCGGTCAATCGTGCACCGTCCGAACACGTCCATTAAAAGTGCTTTTTCTTGCAAAAACAAGCACTTTTAATGGACGTGTTTTGGTTTGAAAAATACAGAAGTTATCCTTTAATCTTCTCTTACAGTAAACTGGATCTTTTTGGTCGAAACACGCAATTTGGCGCGTCATCTATGGTTTGGTAAAATGGTAATATCCATCTCTTCTCTGTGGCCTTTGACACCTAGTAAGATGTCGACTTTATTTACTTGATTTAATTTCTTATTTTGATTGCTTTTTATTGCGTGGCTGTTATTTTTTACTCATGTTTTATGTCTCTTTTCATTTATTGTTGTATTTTATATGTAGTTCTGCACCTCAACGCTGAGCTGTTTATGTCTTTATTATTCTCCTGTACAGCACTTTGGTCAACTTTGGTTGTTTTAAAGTGCTCAACAAATAAAGTTGGATTGGATTTTTCACTATTTTATGGACCAAATGATCAAGAGATTAATCAAGAAAATGATTTAATAATCTACAATATTACACGTGACACCTTTAAAACACTACTGCTAAGAAACCACAAGCTAAAATCAAACAGAAGTTTTTGTTTGTATCGGTGGGATCAGTCGTACCTTCACCAGGGTGCGGTAACCGTTGCCAGGCGTTTCTTCGTCGAAGTCGTAATGGTGGAAGACGGCGGTGAAGCTGCCGACGACGGGCTCCAGGGCTCGGCCGTGCTCCTGAATCCGTCTCATACACGTGACCAGGCGATTGGCAACAGCGCCGTACGGGAAATCAGAAGGCCCACACATAACGGAGAGGACGTCTTCGCATACTGTCTCCAAGGCTGCGAACACAAGCTTGTAATCCATATCTGAGGCTGGGAGAGGAAGACAAGACGACAGCAGGGTGAGGGATTTCTTTCACCTCCTGTGTACGTATGTGAGCGTATATGTGTATATATATATATCTGTGGTTGTGACACAGCAGTCATGTGACGTGCGCTGAACATCTCGAAGAAAAAAAGGGACCATCACCCGAAGAGTAAACACAGATCTCGATGAGCTCATCTCCTGCAAGACAGCTCATTGGTTTGGTGATTATGCTCTTATCTGTACGGTCAAAGGTTGAAGTTCCCTTTGAAACCAGCGGACTGACGGCGTCAAACACTGGAGAGGATTTATTATATATGTGTGTGTAGAAAGAGAGAGAGAGAGAGAGAGAGAGAGAGAGATCATGTCTGACTCAAACACACACACATCCATTGTAAGATCGATTGCATTGATCTGCTCTCTTCCTCGATACCTGAAGATGGGCTCTAATGAGACACACAATGTAAGTTATGGATGAATAAAACACTCTTAAAGTCAGTTAGCTGTTATCTACATTAACTTAACACTGATCCACAAAGTGTCTCTCTTCCATTACAAATAAATAATATTAAGGTGTGTTTACAGACGTTCAGGCTTTGGCGAGATATAATTTAAACACCGATATATGTTAGAGCCTGTGATGAAGTAGTACTGACTGATATTAGTTCATCACAAACAGAAACACAATTCATCTGTGGTTTTTTTAAACGTCCAAGAAAATATATTGGTGTTAATTATTTTTAAAAAAACACATTTATTTGTATTTGATTTGTTTATTTAAATAATAAAAGCAGGCAATTTGTTGCGAACTGATTTTTTAAACTCTCAAATATCAATAATTGTGCCTGAAACAGAGTTTTGGACTATAACATCCACCTCTTTGATACGTTTGAGTGTTTTATGTCACTTTAAATCGGTGTAAATGTAACAATGCACATTAGTTTGTCGGGTATTTAATTTGTCGGATTTATCAAAAACAGACATTTCACATTCGACCTATAAATCTAAATGTCCTCGGCCGACTCTCCAGAAAGTGTACCAGCCCAGAATATATAAATATTGTAATATAAATGTACATTTCCCACCAGAGAGGATCTAAATAGGACAGTGACTCTTCCTCAGTAGCTCCATAAAGCTCCATAAAGCCATGGCTGCGTATGTTCATGTAGAAATTAAATCAAATTGTGTGTCGACAGCAGCTGTCTGCGTACACAGCCCGGAGCCGGAGAGTGAAGTCAGGACTTTCTGCTCGATGTGGCAATGCTCATAAAACACTAGAGGCTTTATCACAGTTTTGACACATGCTTGATTGTGTTTTTTCTATTTCTGCTCAGTAGTCAGTGTCTCAAAGGGCGGCCTGTTTAGGTTTATGGCTGCAGCAACATGCCGGGTCCAATAACTGGATGTTCTTTTGAGAAATCTGCATTAAACCGTGAGATGATTCTGTCGCTGTACAGATAAAGTGATCAGTCAGTCAGTCTTATTATCTCTGACTGCATTTTGTCCTTTTGCTTGGATTGTTTTTTGTTTTTTTTGTATTTCACTTAATTTAATTTATTTTAAAATGTATTTTCCTGTTCCTTGTGTTTTTAAATTATAGTCTTAATGCTTTTCTTTGCATTGCGTGGCGCGCTGTCGGTAAATAACAGATGTTTGCGGCGATTTAGAAATGGTCTTCGACTGTAAAATGTGTATTTATTAAAAGGTAAATCTAAGTTTATGTTATCAGCTGACTGTAAATATCAGATTTTGTCGACATTTTTCTTCTTGTCAACACATCCAATGAAAAGACTAAACCCAACCATCTGTTATTTCGTATTTCAATACTTACTGACTTCAATGTTTTAACAGGTAACTAGTAATTGTAAAGAATTATAAGGATTTTAAAGTAACCCTCCAAATTCTGCTTTGTCATTATAATGCTAAAATAAATTAAATAGTCAGATATGTGCGTATTGGTGCACACATACAAGGAATTTGACTCCGGCGTTACACTGCTCTCATTGTACATCTATGTACTATTATATATATATGTATGTGTGTGTATAAATATACAAACAAAGAAAAACAATAAAAATGTTGACAGAGTGCAAATATGCTGGAATAAATATTTACCTGCAGGTTTTTTTTAAATGTACATGAGGTAGTAGGATACACAGTGTGCACAGCAATGACTGTATTTACGTTTTTAATGATTTACGTTACTGTTTTACAAAGTACAGCAGATTTTAACTGATCCAGTCCACAAGATGCACTTCTGTTTTCTGTTTCTGTCGGGTAACTCAGTACTTTAATCCCTTTGTCCCCTGAATCTCACCCATTGACCCCAAATAATAAATAAATAAATAAAAACAAACAAATAAATAAAAAAAGGCAGCCAGCAAAAACAGCTGATGAATGACGTAACCCTGTACCCAGGGTCACCTCTCCGTCACTATCCAACCTGAGCTCAGTTTACAGCACAGATATCAGCTTCTCCTACTGTAAGAGGGGAAAACTCGCCTCTCGTCGGGGGTTTGGAGCATTTTAAGGTGTTTTCTCGTCCCGTCCCGTCCCGTCCCCCCCACTCTTTTACAACGTGCACATACCTTCACATGAAACTTCCCTGTCAACATGTTTCGGTGGCTGCTGAAGCTAACGAGCAGCAACTTCAACCACACCGAAGTTAGGCATCGATCGCACTGTTGCTTCCCGTTTTTAAGAAGAGCCGCGTACAACGACAACGACGACAACGACAACAACAACACGCTAAAACACAAGGGCGCCGTTTGACATTCGTACGCGAAGCTGTGAATAACGCACAAAGCCGCTGTGTGCGTTTTAAAATGTGCGTTTTTACGTACCGACCCGCATCCTCTTCCGTGCTGTTCCGCCGGTTTGTCCCGCAGAACGCTGGGTGACGTCATCGACGTGACGGAGCGCGAGACGCGGCCGTTGCAGGCAGCCGTGGCCGCGCGCCCTAGTGGCCGTTAGCGCGAGTCAACAGGTCGGCTAACGCACTTGTTATTGTTTTTAAAAGTGTTCATTAAAGTGTTTTATTGTGATTTATCTTCGTGTTTTGTTGACGAAATGTTAGAAATTCCTGTTTATTAAAGCTGGAGATAGTTCAGCCCCATTAAATACAAGTCATTTACTGCAACCTTTTTCCTTCAGGGACCCCTTTTCTATCATTTAATCAACTGACGACCCCTCACTAGCTGACTATAATCGATATTTCACATTATATTTAATATTATAACAATAACAGTGCAGAATAACTGATACACTGTACACTTAACCTACATTTCTCATATTTTATGGACGTTTTTATACAATTCTGTGTCTGTATTATGTATTTTCTTTCTGTTTTTAACAAATTTTAACTACTTTTTTTAGATAAATTCAGTGTTTTATTCTATCTGATGCTTTATAATTAGCTCTTTGGTTGTTTTAACTGCATACATTTTTTAATACAGGACATGGCTATTTCACATTATATTTAATATTATAACAATAACAGTGCAGAATAACTGATACATTGTACAATTAACATCTATTTCTGATATTTTATGGACGTTTTTATACAGTTCTCTGTCTGTATTATGTATTTTCTTTCTGTTTTTAACAATCTTTAACTATTTAAAAGGCCTCTTTTTTAGGGCCTATTGGTTGTTTTACCTGCATACATGTTTAATACAGGACAATGCTGTTTAGTAGGCTATGTGACAATATCTTGTGTTCAGGTCTTAAAAGTTTAGATGTTAAATAATCATTTATTGGAGTTTTTATCTGAGATATTTCCCCCCATTAAATACAGTCCTTTTCTATCATTGAGTAACCTGCCGACCCCTCACTTACTGACATATAGTATGGATATTTCATATTATATTCAACATACCAATAAATTGTACAGTGATCCTAAATAGTGAACACAATAACTGCAGGAAGTTTTTGTAAAACGAGGGATTTGAATTGAACAGATTTTAAAATATTGCACCAGATATGATTGATAATGTGAACTTTTTACACAATTCTCTGTGTTTTTCTTTCTATTTTTAACAATCTTAACTACTTAATAGGCCTCGTTTTTAGACAAATTCAGTGTTTTATTCTACCTGATGGCCTTTTATTATTAGCTCTTTGATTGTTTTAACTGCGTACTTTGCAGGACAAGACTGTAGTAGAAAGTGAATAGTTTTAATGTAATGTTAAGCTACTGTCTTATTGAAGTTTCCTTTTTCACATAGCAGACAAAGCACAGGCGTTACTAAGAACATTATATTAAAGCTTTCTTCTATTCAAGTGTCCCAGTAAGCCACAATAGTGTCACTGTGAGCTCGAAACTGAAGCATCATTAATCTTTCACTTTGTTTACACCTGTGGTTTTTAACAGTAATGGAGACTTGTGCTTGTATCATATATTGATTATTCTCTTTTTATTGTGCGTATGTGACGAGGTTATGGGAGTCTCTAGTGGCCGTCAGATCACTTGCAGCACTCTGGACATGAATTAAGTTTAGCTGTTTAAGAGTGCTTGGAGTTTAATGCTCTTACAGCCACACGGGCTTTTATTCAGTAGCCTAATAATTACAATTATAAGCCTAATACTTTTAATAAAAATGTTTGCGTTTTCGTAATAGCTGTCTGGAATAGTTAAATAATAGAATAAATGCATGTAAATAGGTGAAAAACTGCAAGTGCATCTCATATTTACATCTCACCATGTCTGTAAAGTCTGTAAAATAACTCTTTAATAAAGAGTCAATTCAGGTGTGTTATTTTGACAATCTTTAAACTTTTTCTCCTCTGTTTGCTCTGTTGTCTCTTTGAGCAGCATCACAAAGGAAGGCTGACGGTTTCCTCACACCAATCAACAATGTTAAAACAGAAGATATCCTGAATGAACTGATGCATTTCTGTGGCAAGTGACAAATCTTATGGTCTGTTATGACCTTTCTGAAAAAAAAAAAAATTTAAGCTGACTCATGTCTGCAGAATCTATCAGGTGTTAAATGATATATTGGGTGTGGTGGTGATACTTGAGTGTACAGTACCAAAGTTGTTGTGGTCACTTTCTGTGTGTAATGCAGCATTAAGGCGCTGATACGACTTTGTGTCAACAGTATTCTGTATTTTTATATTGCAGACATCCCCTTTTCCTCAGTTATAATAAACTATAGGGGCTGTACAAGCTTAATAATACCAGATTGGTGCACAAATCAAAGGTCACCTCAGTGATCTTATGTTGGCTCAACATTTCTGTGTTACTTACTTGAACAGTAAACCTAAACATGTCCTTCATCTGACTGATGTCCATGCAGGTTTCCTGCTCTTATTTAACATCCTCTCCTCTGTAATTTGACACCACAAACAGACTGCGAGGCAGACGAACTTGCAGTGACTTTTACTAAACAGCTACATATAGTAGGATTAGGGTAACCCTAACCCTGAAAAATACAGTTGTATTTGTTGTGCCAAGTGTCAGACTACTTAAGACCTCCTCGCTCTCCTTTCTCACAACAATATTAATTGCGTGGAGGGTTTGTGAGCGTGAATAAAAAAGCAGAGTCATTGGGCTTTTCCTTGATATTTATTAAAAGATACAAGCATGCCAAATCAATCAATGAGGTATTATTTGGGGAAATGAGGGAAATTCCAGTTAGGTTTTTATCTCTTTGACTTTCTCTGATGCTTATGCTTCCTCTCTGTGACTCATTCTTCGCCGTAAACGTTCCTATCACAATAAGTTCTCACAACGATCAGTTTACACGGTCCGTTCTTAAATCTATGTGACATACTATAGTCAGGTGGTGTCTGAGCTTTGTGTGGCACTGCGTGTTTCTACTGTGTGCACAGTTGGCTATGTGTACATACAATCCCAGAGCTGCAGGTATGGCCCTTAAACACTATTGTTAAGACACGACTATAACTCTTATAACTGTATAAGATGTCAGGAAATGTTGAGTAATGTTATCGAAGGCTTTTTTTACTGCCCGCTGTGACGTCTTCAGAGTGTTTCTTTTGTCCGATCAACAGTCACAAACCAAAAGATATTCAATGTATGATCATATATGATGAATAAAAGCAGCAACTCGTCATATTTCCGAAGCTGGAACCAGAGAATGTTTCTAATTTTTGCCTGAAACAATTATTTTCTGTATATCGTCTCATTAATTGATTGGCAAACATGCAGTCACTGAGTTCACAGTATGCCCTTTGACAATATACTGTATGGTTTTAATGTGGATTGCTATGAGATGTTGTGCAGATATTCACGATGTCCAGAGGATGAATCCCTGACTTATTTTGATGATATCCTGATTTTTCATCTAGCGCCACCTGCAGGTTAGAGTTTTCACTCATACAGTTAAATATCTCAACGTCTAACAGATGGATTGGAAATCTTGTACATGACACTTATGAGGCCCTGAATCTCCACCATGAGGCTGAGATTTGTGCTTTTATGTGAAATGTCTCAACAACTTTTGGGTAGATAAATTAGATTCATTGTCAGGATCATTTGTAATAACTTTGGTGAGCCTCTGATTTATAATTTATAGATGATTTTATCATCAGGTCAGATTTGAAATGTTTTCAATATTTGGGTTTGAAACAAAATACTGACAAAACTAATGACATATCAGATTTGTTGATTATTTTTCTTGTGTTGGTTGTGGAATAAAATTACTGACTAATCATAAAAACACTTCACATTCATAATTTCACTACAAATTGTTGATTTCTTACATTTGTGACTCAGGTAAATCTAAATATAATAACATTAGGTCATTCTTTTCTTTAATTTATACCATAACCCCTGGCGGTCTTATCTGGTTCCTCTCAACAAGTAAGTCAAGTCAGAACCACAGGCACATCTGCTGTGGCTGCTGGCCTCAGAAAGATCCGCTGATTACCACTGACCTTAGGCACAGGTCAGGCAGATCTATCATAAGACAGGAAAGCAATCAATGTAGCCAGTTTACTCATAAACTGTCAACAGAGCTGCCGTGCAAACAGGTCTGCTGAAGTCCATGCTGGTGTCCCGGAAGAGAACACAAGCTGACGGTGCAGGTTTCAGTGTGGTTTGATGTGTTAAGATGAGTCTTATTTTCTGCTTAATGCAGCTAATAATAACAAGAGCGGAAGAAAGAGGACAAGTGTGTTTGGAGATTTCAAGGGATTTCTTTATATATATTCTTCATCTTCTTTATAGATTCATGTTCAACTGAAGAGAACCCGATTAAGAATTCAGTCTCTTTCAGTAATTTATTGAAAGGCAAATACAGACAAGGTTTATCCTCCTCATTAAACATCCCCAGCTCTCTAGGGCAATGGGACAAAAATCTGGAAGATATTTCCTTTAACACTCTCTTATCTCGACATTTGTTCTTTGGAACACATACAAAATTTCTCAAAAGGAACTAATCGCACATTTCCTCAATGTCATAAATGTCTGCCCTGACTTATCCAGAAAGTATCCCGAGGTTCCCTCCAATGAGAATAGGAGCTGATAGGGTTGTTTAAATTTTAACTAAGGGAATTTTGACCAACAGGGAGGCAAATCTTGATTAACGACTCATGGAAAAGAAACAACATGTCCAAACTAAGGTTCATTTGCAAGTCTCTGTCACCTAAACACACCTGTATAGTGGCAATGAAGGCTCAACAGAGTCACTGTTGTGCATTGTGGGCATGAGGAGGGAAGGTTGGGGGTGCAGGCGCGCCTTTCCAGTAAAGGAGACAAGTGGGTCAAACTGCCTTCCTGTTCTCATATCATTCGATACTTAATATATGTA